CATTTAATAAAAACTGATTCTAACCAGTTGTTTCTTTTTTCTGTCTTTTAAGTATGATATATGCAATGGTAACCAATGCTGAAGATGAGGATTCAGAGGAAAAATGGTTAAGAAACAAAATATGTCGTGTGTGTGTGTGTGAGTTTATTTATTGCTGTTTGTTTGAAAAAAAAAGGTAAGTTTCTGATGCTGTTGTTTGGAAAACATTATCCTTAAAAAATCATAAATGTCCAGAAAATTCATAAATTTACCCCTAAATTAATTGAAAATAAGTCTTAAATTTAATATTTAAAACAGCACTTGTGCAATATATACCCACACACACACAATTAAAAAGAGTACAATGATAAAATAATTACACAATAAATAATTTATTAAAAATAGAAATAGGGACTGGCCCTAAAAAGACCTTACATGTTTCAGTGTTCTTATTTTAGCATTGTACTCCTTTTAATTGTATATAAACCCTAAATTTTTGTGAAAAGTTGCATGGAAGCCTGTATATATCTAGAACTTTAAAATTTTATATTTCTGTTAAACAATTCTCCGAGATGTATTCTTTATTGTCGTATGCCAAGCTTCATTATCATCTAATATTGTCCCCAGTGGCACAGTGGTATGTCTGCAGACTTACAACACTAGAAACCGGGTTTCAATACCCGTGGCGGGCAGAGCAAAAGCACTCCAGTGGCACAGCGATATGTCTGTGGACTTACAACGCTAGAAATCGAGTTTCGATACCCGTGGCGGCAGAGCAAAAGCCCTCCAGTGGCACAGCGATATGTCTGTGGACTTACAATGCTAGAAACCTAGTTTCGATACTCGTGGCGGGCAGAGCAAAAGCCCTCCAGTGGCACAGCGATATGTCTGTGGACTTACAATGCTAGAAACCTAGTTTCGATACTCGTGGCGGGCAGAGCAAAAGCTCCCCAGTGGCATGTCTATGGACTTACAATGCTAGTAACCGGGTTTCGATACCCGTGGCGGGCAGAGCACAGATAGCCCATTGTGTAGCTTTGTGCTTGACGTCAAACAAACATCTAATATTAATCATTACAACAACATAATCTGTATTATTTATTTCCTTTATTTAAATAAATAAAATTTTCATGCCTAGTTATGATTGTGTTGGGGAGGAAATAAGTTGGTATTTCTTAGGGTCTTTGATATTGATGTATAAAGTCTGTTGTACCATGTCTCAACAAAAAGAAAGTTAAGTTGTTAGATACTATAAAAATTTTAATGCATATATTGTGGATGCATTTTTTTTTCTAGCTCTGATTATTTGAACACAAGTTTTAGAATGTGTCTTTGCAAAGCTCTGTTTTGATTACCTTTATAAATACAGGTCTTGGCTGTGCCAGATAATACTTGTTGGAAAGGTATTTAACTTAAATTTTAAGCTTCTGATCATTTTGAAACTTGTGTATTAATATTTGCAAGTTTAGTTATAGCATTCTGAATTAAGTGGCAGTTCTTATTACAGACGGATTGATTAGTTCTTTTGTGAATGTGAATTACGCTACAAAATATCAGAGTGAAAGTTTTTTCGTATAATATTTATATACTGATGAAAACATTTAATATTGGTAACATTTAGTTCTTTTGTGAA